AAAATACTAGAAATCAGTATTCAATCACACATTAAAACAATTATTTAGCATGATCAAGTGGGATTCATCCAAGAAATACACAGATGCTTTAATATACACAAGTCAATAAATGTGATATATTACATTAATGGAACAAAGGATTGAAAACACATAACCATCTCAAAAGATGCAGAAAAAACATCTGACAAAAGTCAGTATCTTTTCATTATAAAAATCTCTCAACAAATTAGGTGTAAAAGAAACATACCCCAACGTGATAAAGGCTATATTTGATCAACCCACAGCCCACATTATACTGGGGAGGGGGGGAGTAGAAACCTTCTCCTTTAAGATCTGAAACAAGAATGCCCACTTTCACAACTATTTGACATAGTACTAGAAGTCCTAACCAGAGCAATTAGGCAAGAGAAAGAAAGAAAAGCCATCCATATTGGAAAGAAGAAAGCCAAATTTTCCCTGTTTGGAGACAGCATGATCTTATATAGAGAAAAAAACTAGACTCCAACAAAATCTGTTAGAACTAATAAACGAATTCAGTAAAGTTGCAGGGAACAAAATAAACACACAAAAATCAGCAGCATCTCTAAATCTTAATAGTGAACTATCTAAGAAAGAAATCGAGAAAGCAATCCCATTTACAGGAGCTACAAAAAATACTTGGAAATAAATTTGACCAAAGTAGGTCAAAGGTTTGTGCAATAAAAAGTATGAAACATTGTTGAAAGAAGGGTGAAGAGGATACAAATAAATGGAAATATATTCCATGTTCATGATTGGAAAAATTAATATTATTAAAATATCCATGCTACACAAAGAAATCTACAAATTCAATCCAATCTTTATCAAAATTTCAAAGTCATTTTTCACAGAAATGAGAAAACAATCCTAAAATTCACGTGGAAACACAAAAGACTCCAAATAGCCAAGGTAATATATAGCAAAAAGAAGATAGCTGGAGGCATCACACTATCTGATTTTTAAATAGACTCCAAAACTATAATAATCAAAACATCATGGTACTGGCATAAAAACAGACACATAGACCAATGGAACACATCAGAAAGCCCAGAAATAAATTCAGACATTTAGAGCCATGTGATTGTCGATAAAGTTGCCAAGAATACAATGAGGGAAAGACAAACTCTTCAATAAATGGTGCTGGGAAAGTCAGATATCAACATGCAGAATAATAAAATAAAATAAAATAAAATGTGACCCCTATCTCTTACCATATTTAAAAAATCAAGTAAAAACAGATTAAATACTTTATTGTAAGACCCAAAATTATGAAATAACAAGAAGAAAACGTAGGAGAAATGTTACATGACACCAGCCTGGGCAAGAAGTTTTCAGACAAAACTTCAAAAGCAGGAGTGACAAAAGAAAAACAAACAAATGGGGCTACATCAAACTAAAAGCTTCTGCACAGCAAGGGAAACAATCAACAAAGAAACAACCTACAGAATAGAAGAAAATATTTGCAAATTATACATCTGACAAGGGATTAATATCCAGAATTTATAAAGAACTCACACAACTCAATAGCAATAATAATTACCATTATTATTATTATCTAATTAAAACAATGGGCAAAAGACATGAATAGTCATTTCTCTAAAGAAGAAATACAAATGGCCAACAGGTATATATATATACACACACATTTATAAAGGGGTGTGTGTGTATATATATACATTTATATATATATTATGTATATAATATATATATAAAGAAAAAGAAGTTTAATGGACTCACAGTTTCACATGGCTGGGGAGGCCTCACAATCGTGGCAGAAAGTGAAGGAAGAGCAAATGCACGTCTTATATGGTGGTAGGCAAGAAATTATGTGCAGCGTAACTGCCCTTTATAAACCCATCAGATCTCATGAGATGTATTCACTATCCTGAGAACAGCATGGGAAAAACCTGCCCCCATTATTCAATTACCTCCAATCGGGTTCCTCCCATGATGCGTGGGCATTAAGGGAGCTACAATTCAAGATGAAATTTGGGTGGGGACACAGGCAAACCATATCAGATGGAATTTCTTATAGGACTTGAAACCTTGGGGAAACAAGTGATAGTGTGATTGATTTCTATCTCCATAGTGGTCTTTGTTTTTTACCTAGGTTGGTTCTAGGTAGGCTCTGGGCTGGACTGGCAAGGGAGATCCTGATTCTTCTCAGTGCCACACAGCACTTATTCTAAAATCAACCACATAATTGGAAGTAAAACACTCCTCAGTAAATGCAAAAGAATGGAAATCATAACAAACGGTCTCTCAGATCATGGTGCAATCAAATTAGAATTCAGGATTAAGAAATTCACTCAAAACCACACAACTACATGGAAATTGAACAACCTGCTCCTGAATGACTCCTGGCTAAATAATGAAATTAAAGCAGAAATAAAGAAGTTCTTTGAAAACAATGAGAACAAAAACACAACGTACCAGAATCTCTGGTATGCAGCAAAAGCAGTGTTAAAAGGAAAATTTATATCACTAAATGCCCACATCAGAAAGCTAGAAAGATCTCAAATAGATACCCTTACATTACAATTAAAAGAACTAGAGACACAAATCCAAGAGCTAGCAGAAGATAAGAAATAACTAAGATCAGGGCAGAATTGAAGGAGATAGACACATGAAAAACCCTTCAAAAAAAATCAATGAATCCAAAAGGTTGCTTTTTAAAAAAAAAAAATTAACAAAATAGACTGCTAGCTAGACCAATAAAGAAGAAAGGAGAGAAGAATCAAATAGACACAATAAAAATGATAAAGGGGATATCACCATTAACCCCACAGAAATACAAACTACAATCAAAGAATAGTATAAACACCTCCATGCAAATAAACTAGGAAATCTAGAAGAAATGGATAAATTCCTGGATACATACACACTCCCAAGACTAAACTGGGAAGAAGTTGAATCCCTGAATAGACAAAGAGCAAGTTCTGAAATTGAAGGAGTAATTAATAGCCTACCAACCAAAAAAGCCCAGGACCAGATGAATTCACAGCCAAATTCTACCAACAGGTATATTAAAAAGTGCTACGCTGGGCCGGGGGCGGTGGCTCACGCCTGTAATCACAGCACTTTGGGAGGCCGAGGCGGGCGGATCACGAGGTCAGGAGATGGAAACCATCCCATCCCGGCTCACACAGTGAAACCCTTTCTCTACTAAAAATACAAAAAACTAGCCGGGCGTGATGGCGGGCACCTGTAGTCCCAGCTACTTGGGAGGCTGAGGCAGGAGAATGGCGTGAGCCTGGGAGGTGGAGCTTGCAGTTAGCCGAGATCGCGCCACTGCACTCCAGCCTGGGCCAACCTGGGCGGAGACTCCGTCTCAAAAAAAAAAAAAAAGTGCTCGGCTGGGCGTGGTGGCTCACGCCTGTAATCCCAGCATTTTGGGAGGCTGAGGCACGCGGACCACTAGGTCAGGAGATCGAGACCATCCTGGCTAACACGGTGAAACCCTGTCTCTACTAAAAATACAAAAAAATTAGCCGGGCGAGGTGGTGGGCGCCTGTAGTCCCAGCTACTCTACTCGGGAGGCTGAGGCAGGAGAATGGCATGAACCCGGGAGGCGGAGCTTGCAGTGAGCCGAGATCGTACCACTGTACTCCAGCCTGGGCGACAGAGAGAGACTCCGTCTCAAAAAAAAAAATAAATAAATAAATAAAAAATAAAATAAAATAAAATAAAATAAAATAAAATAAAATAAAATAAATTTGGCTCCTCTGATTTTAAAATTGATTGGGGCTCCCTATGACCTAAAGAACCAAGGTCAAACTCCCTGTCTTGACCTTCAAAACTCTTCACAGCCTTCCCCCAAACTCTTCCATGTCTCCTCCCTACCTTTTCTTATAGCCACTTGGATGACTTCCTGTTCTCCAAGCAGGCCAGTCACCCTTTTTGTCCAGACTTCTCCCTCTGCCTGGAATGTTCTTCTCTCCTTCTTCCTTGGGCAAATTCCCCCTATCCTCCAAGACCCAATGCAGAGGACGGTTTATTGGAAGCCCCTTCAGGGTACTCCCAGTGCCTAGAATCCAGCCTGTCATTTTGGTTGAATAATTAATCAGATCAAGGACATAGTCCCTGAGTACCCAACAGAGACGCCCCCCTACACCCACCCCCTTGTGCTCCCTGCACTCCTCCTCCATGCTATGTTGGAACTTCTTGAAGTCAGGCTTCTTTTCTTTTCTGTTTCATTTCTTTCTTTCTTTCTTTCTTTCTTTCTTTTTTTTTTTTTTTTTTGAGACAGAGTCTCACTCTGTTGCCCAGGCTGGAGTGCAGTGGCGCGATCTCGGCTCACTGCAACCTCTGCTTCCCAGGTTTAAGCCATTCTCCTGCCTCAGCCTCCTGAGTAGCTGGGACTACAGGCGCTCACCACCACACCCAGTTAATAGAGATGGAGTTTCATCATGTTAGCCAAACTGGTCTCAAATTCCTGACCTCAGGTGATCCGCCCACCTCAGCCTCCCAAAATGCTGGGATTACAGGCATAAGCCACCATGCCCAGCCTCATTTCTTTTCTTTTTTAGAGGAGTCAGGATGGAGTGCAGTGGCTCAATAGCTCACTGTAGCCTCCAACTCTTGGGCTCAAGTTCTCCCGCCTCAGCCTCCTGAGTAGCTAGGGGACTGCAGGGGTGCACCATCATGCCTGGATTTTTTTTTTTAATTAAATTTTTGTAGAGACGAGGTCTTGTTATATTGCCCAGGCTGGTCTCCAACTCATAGCCTCAAGCGATCCTCCCACCTCTGCTTCCCAAAGTGCTGGGATTACAGCTGTGAGCCTCCGCGCCTGGCACAGGCTTTATTTCTTATGCTCCTTCCTTTTTCCTGGATGCCTTTCTAACTCTGTATCTGGCACATAGAGGTGCTCCGTACGTGTTTGTTGAATGAATGAATGAATGAATGAATGAGCGAACATGCCATTTCACCTTATGTATCTTGTGAACCCGCCAGGCCCAGGCCTGATGTCATAGCCTCTACCCATGGCCCGAGTCTCCAGTCCCCTGCATGTCTGCTGGCCACAGCGCGAACGCCGAGGCACCACCCTTCCCAACCCCACCTCCGTCCGATTCCCCGCCGGGGTCCCCCTAACCCTTTCCCCGCCGGCTTCCCGGTCCCGGGACCGCCAGCCTCCAGCTCAGCCGGAGGTGTCCCCGCCCACAGCCAGGATTGGAGGACGGAGGCAACGCCCACCCCGCCCGGCGGCCTCCTATTGGCACAGCTCAGGCCAATGGCGGGCGCGACACTGTCCGCGCTGCCAGGCGGAGGTGAGTGCGCCGCGGCCGGAGGGGCGGGACGGGCGCGGAGAACGCCAAGAACCGTGGCGCGCGCTCAGTCCGCGTCGCCAAGGGCTGCGCTGGCCAAGCGCAATGCCCTGAGCTCGTAGTCGGCCCGGCCCGGGGACCTTGCTGGCCGAGTAGGTCGTCAGTCAACTCTTGTCTTCCAGACCTGGAGGACCCAAGCTTCCGGACGACGAGGAACCGCCCAACATGGCCTCGGAGGTGAGTGGGACCTCGGGGACGCCGGTCCTCCCAGCCTCGAAAGGAGAGGGTGGGGGCGCCAGACCTGCCTCGGCCACCATGCTGGGAATCCGCCTTCAGGAAGCCTTCACCCCCAACACTCCCAGGCGCATCTTCTGGAGCTCAGCAGTCACCTTTACCGGGACTAATCAGTGTCCCCAGGCAGCCCTTATGGCAAACCCACCAACCCACGCTACTAGGGGTAGAGTGGCTCTGCGCTGACCCTAGTACCCACGCTACTAGGGGTAGAGTGATGCCTGCCTGGCCAGGAAAACTGCTCCCACGCCTTCAGCCCCCCACCTCTTCAGTCCTTCTTCCCACGTGTCCTGTCAGGTCCCACCCGGTACCACACCCTTTCTGCTACAGCAGTTGTCCCTGTTTGTAGAATAAGTCTCAGCCCCTAAAGTATTCTTGTCCTTGACTGTGGCACGTGGAAAGAGCCACGAAAAAGGGGACGTCGCCCCGTGGCTCCAGCAACCCGGTGCCTGATCCTTTCCTGTCTCACTGGAGGCTGCTCCTTAGGATCAGCGACTCCTGGCTTCTCTTCCCAACCACTGAGATGCCGGAGTCCCAGGCACAGGTTTCCTTCCTTGGGCCTCAGTTGATTTATCTGGCAGTGGGGGGTAATAATAGCTGTCGGCCTCCCTCTGAAAGGCACTAGATTATGAGGCTATTGCTTTGGACCCTTCAGGTTAAAGAAGCTGTTTGTCTGATGCTTGATGAAGGGAACTCCGGGAAGCAGGAGCTCTGGGTTCCAGCACCTTCTGGCTCTCATTAGCTAGCAATTCATTTCCTCTTTCTAAGTGCCCTTCAAGCTTCTGGGTCATGGGAGAGGGCAGGGGGGCAGGGCCTGGACTTTGGAGCCAAACAGACTTGGTTTCTGTACCAGTAACTTGAGCCCTCTGAACCTCTTTTCTCATTTGTGAAATAGGGGTGATATTGTGATATTGTCTACTTCATAGAAGGCTGTAATAACATACATCGAATCCCTAGCACAGTACTGAGCAACAGTAGGTGCTCAATAAATGGTGGCTAATCACAACAGTACTGATATTTCTACTTTGGGAGGCTGAGGCAGGAAGATTGCTGAAACCCAGGAATTCTAGGTCAGCCTCGGCAACATAGTGAGACCCTGTCTCTACAAAAGTATTTGAGGCTGGGTGCAGTGGCTCACGCCTGTAATCCCAGCACTTTGGGAGGCTGAGGTGGGCGGATCACGAGGTCAGGAGATCAAGACTATCCTGGCTAACACGGTGAAACCCCATCTCTACTGAAAGTACAATAAAATTAGCTGGGCATGGTGGCGGATGCCTGTAGTCCCAGCTACTCAGGAGGCTGAGGCAGGAGAATGGCGTGAACCTGGGAGGCAGGACTTGCAGTGAGCCAAGATAGTGCCACCGCACTCCAGCCTGGGCAACAGAGCAAGACTCTGTCTCAAAAAAAAAAAAAAAAAAAAAAATTGAAAATTACCCTGGTGTGGTCGTGTACACCTAGAGGCAGAGGCAGGAGGATCGCTTGAGCCCAGGAGTTTGAGACTGCAGTGTGCATGATCTCACTACTGCACTCCAGCCCAGGCAATCTCAAAAAACAAAAAACAAACAAAAAAACCCGCCAGGCGTGGTGGGTCACGCCTGTAATCCCAGCACTTTGGGATGCCAAGGTGGGCGGACCACCTAAGGTCAAGAGTTGAGACCAGCCTGGCCAACATGGTGAAACTCCATCTCTACTAAAAATAGAAAAATTAGCCAGGCGTGGTGGGACATTCCTGTATTCCCAGCTACTCGGGATGCTGAGGCAGGAGAATCGCTTGAATCTAGGAGGTGGAGGTTGCACTGAGCTGAGATTGCGCCACCGCACTCCAGCCTGGGTGACAGAGTGAGACTGTTCCAAAAAACAAAACAAAACAACAACAGTAAAACCACAGTGATCTCCTAAAAAACAGAAAAGAAAAAAGCATGGTGTGATGGTGCATGCCTATAATCCCAGCTACTCAGGAGGCTAAGCCAGGATTGCTTGAGGCTAGGAGTTCAAGACCTGCCTGGGCAACATCATGAGTCTCTGTCTCATTGGGGGGCGGGGGAAAATGACCTCCTGCCTTGGGTGTCATTGGCAGGACTGGTGGGACCTGACAGGCATGGGCGGTCTTGTCAGTCGCTGTCCATCTCCCTTCCTTCCCAGCGTCCCCTGGGCTCCCCCTGCCCTCATTCACCCCTTGCTGAACCTACCTTTTCCTGGACCATTCATGCACCATCATGGGGTATTACTCAGCTGAGGCCTGTACCAGCGCTGCAAGGGTGACCTATGCCCTCCTAACAGGCATGGTATATGGAGTGATAAAGTCAGTCACCCAGCTAGTATGTGATGCCAGGCACTGGGTTAGCTTCCTGCAAAACCAACACCTCCTCCACCCTAGAGAGTGATGTACAGATAAATTCCCCCACACTGACCTTGAGGGGAGGGTGACTGGGATGTAGGGCCTGGAGGGGGCCTGCCCTGTGCTGCAGTCAAGGGAGGCATGGCCACACCAAGCCTGCAGAAGGCCCTGAGGCCAGGCTGGGCACTCGGCAAGTGTTTAGTAGAGAGCCCATGGTAACACAGAGACCTCTCCTACATAAATCTCACCAAACTCCTGACAAGAGGGGTCTGACATTAGAGGCCAAGTACGGTGGTTTACGCATGTAATCCCAACACTTTGGGAGGCCAAGGTGGGAGGATCGCTTGAAGCCAGGAGTTCAGTTCAAAACCAACCTGGGCAACATAGCAAGATCCCAGCTACCACATTAAAAAAAAAAAAAAAGAAAGAAACAAGCCAAGCTGGGTGCGGTGGCTCACACCTGCAATCCCAGCACTGTGGGAGGCTGAGGCGAGTGGATCACTTGACGCCAGGAGTTTGAGACCAGCCTGGCCAACATGGTGGAACCCTATCTCTAATAAAAATACAAAAATTAGCCAGGTATAGTGGCGCATGCCTGTAATGCAGCTACTCGGGAGGCTGAGGCAGGAAAATCGCTTGAATCTGGCAGGTGGAGGTTGCTGTGAGCTGAGAGGGTGCTGCCGTGCTCCAACCTGGGCGACAGAGCAGGACTCTATCTAAAACACAAGCAAAAAAACTAGCCAGTTGTAGTGGTGTGTGCCTATAGTCCCAGCTACTTGGAAGGCTGATGCGGGAGGATCGCTTGAGCCCAGCAGCGGGAGGCTGCAGTGAGCTGTGGTGGCACCACTGCACTCCAACCTGGGTAAAAGCAAGACCCTGTCCCTAAAAGAAAAACGAAATGTTTGAAACTTACATTTTAATAACAACAAAGATAAAGAAGCTCAACTCAAGGAAGAATGAATAAGCCCTACCAGGTGATTTGGGAGCAATGAGAGATTTTGTTAACTAAAGAAGCAAACTTCAGCAGTGAGGACGTGATACCAAATCCCCAAAAGGGTCAAAGCTCTGGGTCACAGATAAAATCTTCCAGAGCAGTTGTTCCCAGACTGCCATTCTTGGCCATCATAATTATCGCCCAGGAACTTGCTAGAAATGGAAACTTTCAGCTGGTCGTGGTGACTGACACCTGTAATCCCAGCACTTTGTGATGCCGAGGCGGGCGGATCACCTGATGTCAGGAGTCCGAGACCAGCCTGACCTACATGGAGAAACCCCCGTCTCTACTAAAAATACAAAAAATTAGCTGGGCGTGGTGGCAGACACCTATAGTCCCAGCTACTTGGGTGACCGGAGGCAGGAGAATTGCAGACCACAGGCATTCAGAGAAATAAACAAAGTAATTTCTTTCTTTCTTTTGTCTTTTTGAGACAGAGTCTCACTCGGGCACCCAGGCTGAAGCGCAGTGATGTGATCTCGGCTTACTGCAGCCTCAATCTGGGCTCAAGATCCTTGTGCCTCAGCCTCTTAAGCAGCTGGGACCACAGGTGTGTACCAGCACTCTTGGCTGGTTTTTGTATTTTTTTTGGTAGAGATGGGATCTTGCTATGCTGCCCAGGCTACAGTTAGAAATTTATATCAGGTAGAACCAAGAAACACATTATATGTCCCTCATTCCACCTGTTTAAAATTCCCTTCTTGCCTTTTCCCTTTTCATATGTTAGGTTTTGAGCTCCTTGGCCTTCTTTTTTTTTTTTTTTTTTTTTTGCAGCTTATGGAAAATTGATACTGAGCTTGATAATGTGGGAGAAAAGGAATTTCAGGGTAACAAGAAAGAGAGGCCAGGTGTGGTGACTCATGCCTGTAATCCCAGCACTCTGGGAGGCTGAGGCAGGTGGATCACCTGAGATCAGGAATTTGAGATCAGCCTGGTCAACATGGTGAAACCCTGTCTCTACTAGAAATACAAAAATTATCCAGCAGGCATGGTGGCACACACCTGTCGTCCCAGCTACTCAGGAGGCTGTGGCAGGAGAATCGCTTGAATCCAGGAGGTGGAGGTTGTGGTGAGCCGAGATCGTCCCATTGCACACGAGGATGTGTCTCTTCTTTTCAGCAGCTGCAAAGTGGTAGACACCATTTCATGTCATAAAATTGATTCAAAGATTCTTGCCCGAATAAGGAGTGTAATTGATATACTCATGAAATTTGTTCTGTTTCCTGTTGCTAAAAGTGATACTTGGGAACAAGATACTAAAACATGCAGAAAATGGATGAATCTCAAAAACATGCTGTGTGGAAGAAGCTAGACCCAAAAGAGCATCCCATATAATTCTATTGATGCGAAATTATGGAAACACCGGATCTAATCCATAGTGACACAGAGCAGATCAGTGGTTGCCTGGGTCAGGGCTGGAAGGTGGATTGCCTGGAAGGGGTCAGAGGGAACTTCCCTGGAGTAATGAGAAAGTTCTTTTTTTTTTTTTTTTTGAGACAGAGTCTCATTTTATCACCCAGGCTGGAGTGCAGTGGCTCGATTTCGGCTCACTATAACCTCTGCCTCCCAGGTTCAACCATTTCTCCTGCCTCAGCCTCCTGAATAGCTGGGATTAC